TTCACATGAACGCCATCGAATTGAGCACGTCCCATCCATGATGGTAAGGCTCTGAATTTCCTATCCATTGCATTCGCTAGGGCAGATTCGTCGAATATAGTGGCTTGATTTGATCGTGATTATGGTGGACCGGAAAGCGAATAATTCGGATATAATTGAGATGGTTGATTAATTGGTTCTAGGATATGAGACGTTCTAACCCCACGGTAGGTATTGATCATTTGAGTTTGTAAGGTTTCAGGACCACACAAAGAACCATGCGGAGGATCCACCGAGGGTGGTATCCAGTTGTGATTCCAGGTCGTTGGCCTGGTTTGGTTCATATCACGAACGTCAGGAATTTGTGTCTGCAACTGAATCCGATCACGGATCATTTGCTGTTGCATCTGTGTTTGGGCTCTCAGCAGCTCACCACCATTACAGACAATTGGTGTAATGAGGGTGTTGGTTCCGTTCCGCCTGACACTGAATTGAGAACGGCTGGTTGAGCATATGAATTAACCGTACTGGTGGTCAGGGTATACCGTGGTTCAGTTGCCTGAACCGAAGTCGGTATATTCTGGTTTGGAATCGAATCTGGTATGGTTAAGGGTAAATATTGTGATGGAACAGTATTTTGAGTTGAACTCATCGTTCCCCGTTCATTCTCAAAACCATGGAAGGTCGTGCTAAAACTTAATTCGGGATCGCACGTTGGGATTCCCGTATTCGTTGAAGACATCCGAAGCTCACGAATCTTCTACTGAAATTTTCCGATCAGATCTGCATGGCGTGAAGCCGACTCCCGTTTTAACTTCAACCGAGCGGTTCGATAACAATAATGTATCATTTGATGAAGAAGACCCTGAGGTGTTAACACCTCATTCGTCTTCAGTTCCCGATATGCTCTCTCACATATTTCCAACTCATTCATTTGGTGTATGGCATGGGATTTTATCAACCATGGTTGGCCAACGTAAGCAGATATTTTACCATTGAGGGCGGCTATTTCGGTGTCGGTCCATTGAACCGGCGCTGGATATAGGTTATATATCTCCCCTTCGATCTGTCGCTGTTCGTCTGTCAAATAAGTTGCATCGAGAATGGGAAACATTTCCATGCTCAAAGACTCAAATACCAAGTTGTAAATTCCGATTATTAAAAAAATTCTGCCAACGTAGACGTAAAGTCCGTACTATTAAAGTCTATGTTATAAGATGATGGTACTCGATTTAAAATCAGTACAGTATTTACTTCAGTTTATTATTTATTATTATTATTATTTTATTCTATGAGTATGTCGTTTTGAATATCCACTTTCAAAAATAATGCCGCATAAATCGATCACTATTTGAATATTGCTTTAAATCTAATTAGTTTAACAAAAAAGTCAAGCGCAATTGGTTGTATATGTCATGTGATTTTCGGTCCAAAATTTTGTTTAATATTATACCGAACGTGGGCTGAGAATGGCGTTTAACGCACTAGCTCGAATCTTTTTATGGACCAACTTGTTTGCTCCCGTGTTGCAGTGAAGGGCTTGAATACTTGGGAGTATTACCTGTATCTCCTTCGGTCCCTTCTGTCGCCAACAAGGTACGCAACAAAGATCAAAACTATCCACCCCCGCATTTACCGGAAGACCAAATCAGGCTGAGAATATTCAACCAGTTTGAGAATGTTAAACGAGATTACTTTGATACGAGTTTGAAATTTTATTGGGAATTAATACCCAATTACAAAAATAAAGAAAAATCAATAGTTTGGTTCAATTAATATTGACCGTGTTATCGGTTACGTTGTTTGAACTTATACCGAAAGACGAAAAGAAAAATGATCGGATCAAAAATATTGACCGTTGATGTGTGGTGTTACTTGATTAAAAAATTCAATTAACTTGCTTCTCAGAATTGGCCATCTGAACTGAACGAGAATGGTTATGACTGCTGAGCAATGGTGTTCGCATCGCAGATCGATCACCATTCACCCCCGCGGAATTAAATAATNAGAATTGGCGAACTGAACTGAACGAGAATGGTTATGACTGCTGATCAATGGTGTTCGCATCGCAGATCGATCACCATTCACCCCCGCGGAATTAAATAATCAAAATATCCACAAAAATTTTGATTAAAAACGAGCTCCAATAAAAATCAATTAAATCATGCCGTGTGAAGACTGAGGACGATATTGATTTACAGTGATTATGAATTCAAGAGATAATTATTTGATTCAATCTCAATGATGATTTATAATAGCGGAATTTCTAAAAGAAAAATTTATCAAAAATCTATTAAACTCGAATATGTATGGTTCACCGACGTACAATTTTGTGACCAACAAAATGAGAAAAACGACTAAAAGATTTTAATTTTTCCTTAAATCTAATTTTATGATGTATTAAATTGATTCGATGATGAAATTGCTATTTTCCCTCAGCTGAGCACGCGGTTATTTTATGCCGGGCTTAAGTGTGGTTATGTTCAACGAAAACTTATTCTTTTTCACCCGTTTAGTTGGGCGCCAATGATTTGCTTGACCTTGGTTTGTCGGTCCAAACAGGAATCTTTATTTACGGTTGATGGATAGCTCGTTTCCAATGGATGGTGGCAAGAAAGTGGCTGACTTACGTGTAATGATTTTGTATTACCGGCTTATGGTGACTCAATTGCTGTCAAATGAATAGTCCCGATTTGATGCTCACAACTTCTTTATTCTACGCAACAACATGGCTGGGGATTTGCCGGAAGGAATGTGACGGCACCTTTTGCCTCTATTAATTTCCACTGAGGGGTGAGTATCGACTCCCCGAATGCCGCCAGCTTTTAATACAAGCTTTTAATCCACTTTAATTACATGGTTGTAATTTCGTTCCTGTGAGGGCTGATGAGTGTGGTTCGCTCCGTGTCCAATTCCAAAAAGATATGTATTTTTCTAGTCTCGTGGTATGTGACCACCGATTCTTTTATCGTATCTCAGTGCGGGCGTTTTCATAGTGGCCATGTCAATTCGTGTCTATACCGATATGGTGGTTCGTGTCTTGAATAACTATTGGTTATGTACATTCATCTGGCAATCCCCCCCATTTTGAAGTTTAGCTTTGACAGTTTTGTTATGTTTACATTTCTTATAATCGTTCTTATGTCTATTATTTGGACAATAAAAAATAATAGATCACGTCCTGGCCGTTGACATTTGTGTACCATAATTAAACAAAGAATAGAGACAATAGAAGAACGAGTTGAAACTGTCAAAACAGTTCACTTTACAGCGAAAAACGTATTTTCTTTTTGAGCAATGCGAAAATATTGCATTTTTCATCTAATCTATTGAAGAATAGTGAACGTTTTAGTTCACTCCATGATTTGCAATTAAGGCTGCTGCAGCAAACGTCTTAGTGTACTCCATTGCTTTGCTATTACGGCTGGGACAGCAAACTGCGCCAGCATCTGAGTGGGATTGATTAGTTAACTTGCTAAAGTAGGCTTCTTGGAGCAGAAGTGATATGATTGTGATAAAATGCTGTCAAAATAATAATAAAAAAACATTTCGGGAACGGCTTTGCCGCGCCCTATATACGCAAAATGCAGCGATTCGTCGCAGCGCTACACTTGCATCTACGCATATTGAGATGGGGCACCATGGCACACTTCATGGAAGGACAACAGCGCGAATCGGATCCATGTCGCACAAGTAGACTGATGAAGATGGACTGATGGCATCAAGATTTGCTTGACTATGTTGTTTTAACCGATTCTTCACTAATAATTTAAATTTCTCTATGCTGCTGATTTGTAAACAAAAGTTTATTTACGAGTTACCACAACTGTCAAAATCGGCAAAACCAAAGTAGCGGTACCTCTGACGGCGCCACCTTTGTTTCGCTACACCGTGAGTGAAAACCATGATCCAAATATTTAAAGGTAGTTGCACTTCTTTTTCTTAGCCGCCATTACTCCCATTTGACGTAAACTGTGCCTTTGGCATTTTTTTTTTTAAATCGAGTTACAATATTCTTTGACAAAAGTAAAAAAGTGATTGATTACTTAAAAAAAATACATATACATATATATTTATTTAAAAGAAATTAAAGCTTTTAGCGATAGTGGATATAAAAAGGAAGGTAAGTGAAATAATACATTGTATTCACATAAAATATCCATCTACTCTTGTTAATTATTGTATTGTTTTTTAGTGAGATGAGCTGCATATTTAGGAGCTCCAAAAATAACAGAAGACATTGCGAAAAAACTAACTTAAAGATTTTTCGACTCCCGGCGGTACCATACATGCGGGAAAAGTGGATATCCGCGTGCATGGTAACTGAAAATGCGTTACCAAAAGTATCGTGTGTTTGTTGCGAGCACTTGTCCGCGAAAGATTTCAACCGGAGGAAAGGACGCGCCCAATTAGAGCACTAATCTCCGAAACCGCTTAACCGATTTAAATGAAATTTTGTGGGTGTGTATTGTTGGTTCCAACTTAAAAGATAGGATGTTGTGAACCCGAGAAAACATTTTTTTTTCATCGAAATTTTTCTATGCTTCTCGCAACGTGCTTATCTAATACTAGCCAATGCCCGCTTGCTTCGCGGCGCCTAATAAGATCTTTTGCGTTGGCCAATATAAAAATAGCGTTTAAAAGTAAAAGCGGTCTGTAAAGTAAACATTTTTAGTTAAAATTGAAACGAATAAAGAGCAGAATCCTCCTCACACATAGGCCAAACGATGTGATACCATATGGAATACTAACCCCTTTCGATGTCATGAGTTTTATCTATCGTCTTATTTCCACCTGTGAGATCTCTGCCAAGCGTGCGTAATATTCTTCTATGATCTTGCAGCTTCAACATTGGTCCGTAAACCATGTAAGCCAATAAAAGTCCTTATAAGGAAACTAAGGAGTACAGATGAGCGTTTTCAGTTATTGGAGGGGCAAGAATTCTCGCCCACCCCCCTCCCCCACAGGATGAAAAGTTTTCCCGTAGACTAAATTTGTCGTATGATCTCTTAAATATCGTTCAAATTAAGCCATTGATATACTTACCGTGTTCCTTTTTTACGGATGTGGTCGAATCTTTCCTTGTCAATTTGCCACTTTAACAATTTACCTTAATATTTATGAATTATTGGTTTCTTTGAGTCTTATTGCTGTACTAACGGCCGCCCCGAGCAATTTCGTCAATCGGAGGTAGGTGCAAGATCGCATTTAGGGTGCATGAGGGCGTCAGGCAAAGGTGCGCTTACACAATGCTGAAATGAAAAGTTTATTCGTCTAAGATGAATATAGGGCCAAAGCAGACCAAACGCCTTGTGGTTTTTTATATATTTCGGCTGCAGCGCAATCCATTAGGTCCCTTTTCTGCAAAACCACTGCTCGTCATTAAATGAATACGCATTATGAATTTCAATCAGATTATAGCGGGTCCATTTTTAGGAAACGAATTTTTCATCATGCGGGTAGCTCATTTTGCGAATTTGAACGAAATCGGTTAATAAATACGACTTTTATAAATAACTCTACTCCAGCGCCACCTGTGTGTTGTCTAGTAGGCTATAATTTGACTGGTTGTTGAGTTTAGGCCGAACTACGAAAACGGCTATCATTTTATGTATGTATGTACATATCGGTTTATAAATAGGGCTTTTATCGGGTCCATTTTTCGCAAATGCTTTTTCATCATGCAGGTAGCTTATACTTTGAATTTGAACGAAATCGGTTTATAAATAGGGCTTTTATCGGGTCCATTTTTCGCAAATGCTTTTTCATCATGCAGGTAGCTTATACTTTGAATTTGAACGAAATCGGTTTATAAATAAGACTTTTATTAATGACTCGACTCCCGCGCCGCCTAGAGGGTCTATTTTTGGTAAACGTATTTTCCATCATGCTGGTAGCTTACATTTTGAATTTAAAAGAAATCGGTTCATAAATACGATTTTTATAAATAACTCGACACCAGCGCAACCTAGCGGTTTTATTTTTCGCGTACTTATTTCTCATCATATAGGTAGCACATGTTTTGAATTTGAACGAAATGAAATGAAAAGTTAATTCGTCTAAGATGAATATAGGGCCATAGCAGACCAAACGCCTTGTGGTTTTTTATATATTTCGGCTGCAGCGCAATCCATTAGGTTCCTTTTCTGCAAAACCACTGCTCGTCATTAAATGAATACGCATTATGAATTTCAATCAGATTATAGCGGGTTCATTTTTAGGAAACGAATTTTTCATCATGCGGGTAGCTCATTTTGCGAATTTGAACGAAATCGGTTAATAAATACGACTTTTATCAATAACTCTACTCCAGCGCCACCTGCGTGTTGTCTAGTAGGCTATAATTTGACTGGTTGTTGAGTTTAGGCCGAACAACGAAAACGGCTATCATTTTATGTATGTATGTACATATCGGTTCATAAATAGGGCTTTTATCGGGTCCATTTTTCGCAAATGCTTTTTCATCATGCAGGTAGCTTATACTTTGAATTTGAACGAAATCGGTTCATAAATACGACTTTTATAAATAACTCGACCCCAGCGCCTCCTAGCGAATTTTCTGGTAGCCTATAATAGGACCATATATTCAAGGTATAACCTCTGAAAATTTTACTGAAATCTATGCAGTAGTTTTTGAGTTAACTCCGAGCAACGAAAACGGCTATTATTTTATATATAGAGATATAGAAATATCGTGTCACGGTGTTAGTGGTCGAACTCTAAACGGCTTGACCGATCTTTATGAATTTTTTTTTGTGCATATATGGTAGGTATGAGAATCGGATGTAAAGTATCTTTCATACCGCTAGCTGTAGGGGGCGTGGCACCTCCTACACAAACCGAATCATACTGCATATCTCTGGATGTGTTTATGGAAGAGTACTGGAACTTGGTATGTACAAGATATATAAAATCAGTCGCGTGGTCATGAAGAAAAATTGGGGCTATTGGAAAAAGGGGCGTGGCACCTCCCATGGTAGATTACTCGAAAATGGTATGGAGATATACGAAATCAATTCCATACTCTTAGAGAAAATTGGGGCTATTTGAAAAGGAGGCGTGGCGCCTTTCAAGCGCACTGAAACTATTATGTTTCTTTGTACATACATATGTACAGTTTTGCTAGGTTATTTAAGACGGTAATGGAAATATGCCTTCTGACAACCACCAAACCGTAATAGTAGAAGATAAATGCGTCACTGAAAATCATGAACGTGAACTGTTGGTGAAAATGTTAGACCAAAATGTTTCAATACAAAAAAACTATTTTGGGTTTAACGAAGTTCGCCGGGTCTGCTAGTGAAAATATACAAATGTATAAATGTAGACGCATAATAAAACTAATGTATGCATGCAGATACAAGGAGCTATACATCATGCGTTATCATGTGCATTTATATATATGAATGTATATGACAAATGCACTTTTTATGAAGGAAATCAAGTGGAACGACTTAAGAAATTTTAACAACAAATAACTCATAAACAATGATTTTGTTTATATTTTTTAGTTATACATGTTTTAGAGGAAGGGAGGTCCCTTAACATCCTGACCAAGTTTCATTTGTTGATCCAACTAGTTTTTTTTTAAACACGAGGTGCGGCTGACTTAACTTAATGATTTAATGATGTATTATACTGAAAACAACGAATGTAAACCCGGCGTCTCCTTTTTATCCCGCTACTTGTAATAAAAACATGGAGGTGCTTGGTGTTGCCAATATATTACTATTAAAAAAGGTTTTATTTAGAGATACCAATAACAACAAATGTAAAAGATTTTAAGTATTTTGCAAATAAAAATAATTAAGTAAATTTAGATTGCGTTTATATTTTCGGTATATAAGAATGCACCCCTTCACAAATCGTTATGTAATTCGGATCAAGTAAAGAATACCAACCGTTTCGCTAAATAGGAGTCGATAGATGAGCTGATTATAACGGTACTAAAATTAACTTGCAGAAATTAAAATTAAGCGAGATATCGAAGGTCAAAAATCGAAATTTGCTTTTTGAAAAACCGTAATATCTCAAAAACTAGTAAAGCGTTTATAAAAGTTAATATATACTTTTAAAGGAAATTACTACACATTTCTTTTGGTCTGCATTACATGTGCCTTGCGTTTCTAGTTTTTGATAAAAATCGGTTTTTATAAAAAAATAATGAAACAATTCCACTTAAACTGATTTTTTTCAAAACTAGCCTTATTAGGATAGTGTTGTCGTTCTTTTGGTATAAAGAAAATTAATTTCCCTTCGTTTGATATACGTATGTCTATTTCTACTTGCGTCTACAGTATTTTTGCGTAGAATTCCATTCTGCGTAGGCGGCCTTCGGCCGCGATTTAGGATTACAACCCTTACCAAATAGAATTCTCCTTTTGGTGTGCACCAACTGGGCTACCGCCCCAGTGATGTAGCCTGGGGAAAGGATGAGGTAACTAGAATTCCCTTTCTGTGTGTAAACCTGCTGCCGCCCCAGTGATGACAGTAAATTTTACACACAAAAAATTTTATACATTCGGGAAACCATGGGCCAAAGTTAGTAAATCTACGTTTTAATATTTTCTCTCTGACGTCAGTAGTTTTTTTTTGTTAAGGAAAACAGTATGACTATCAAATTATAGAGAAAATTCTGTAGAATTAAGGCCGATTAAATTTTTTGGTGCATACGGACGATTAGGTATTAAAAA